GCGTGACAGTACCCCCCCCCCCCCCCCCCCCAAAGGTGTGGACTCCGACCGCGCCACAAAAACATAACAGGGTAGGGGCCGGGTGGGCATTCCGCCTCGGAGGCGGATCCGGCTCCGGGCGTGACCACCACTTTCTCACCACCTCCCTGTTGCGCCCCTGAGCTGGTCTGGCACCGCTGACTGGAGCTGGACCCGACGACGGTGGATCGAACTGTACAGGCTCCGGACTGGAGCCGCTGACCGGAGCTGGACTAGGCACCGGTGGAGCGGACTTCTCTGGCTCCGGAGTGGAGCGGCTGACCGGAGCTGGACTGGACCCCGGTGGAGCGGATTGCTCTGGCTCCGGAGTGGATCCGCTGACTGGAGTTGGACCGGACCCCGGTGGAGCGGATTGCTCTGGCTCCGGAGTGGAGCAGCTGACCGGTGCCGGACCAGGCACCGGTGGAACAGGCACGGGCCTTGCCGGACTGGACACACGCACCACTGGCCTGGTGCGGGGAGCAGGAACGGGCCAGACCGGGCTGACGACGCGCACCACTGGCTTGGTGCGGGGAGCAGGAACGGGCCGGACCGGGCTGACGACGCGCACCACTGGCTTGGTGCGGGGAGCAGGAATGGGCCGGACCAGGCTGACGACGCGCACCACTGGCTTGGTGCGGGGAGCAGGAACGGGCCGTACCGGACTGGCGACGCGCATCACTGGCTTGGTGCGAGGGACAGGAACAGGCCGGGCTGGACTGGGAACACGCACCACTGGCTTGGTGCGGGGAGCAGGAATGGGCCGGGCCGGACTGGGAACACTCACCACTGGCTTGGTGCGGGGAGCAGGAACTGGCCGGACCGGGCTGACGACGCGCACCACTGGCTTGGTGCGGGGAGCAGGAACGGGCCGTACCGGACTGTGGACACACACCACTGGCTTAGTGCGAGGAGCAGGAACGGGTCGGGCCGTACTGGGAACATGCACCACTAGCTTAGTGCGGGGATCAGGAACGGGCCGGACCGGACTGGCGACACACACCACTTGCTTGGTGCGAGGAGCGGGACTGGGTTCCCTTATAAACCTCCGCTCCATCTGCTGCCTAACCAGCTCCTCTCGCCGTGCCTCTACACTCTCCTTCTCCCTTATCGCCTCCTGTAGCTCCTCCCTCTGACCAATTAACTCCTGCTCCCTCTGGACCAATAGCCCCCGTAACCTGGTGGCCTCCTCTCCTAGTCTGCAGATTTGCCCTGTCGCTGCCTCCTGCTGCCTCGTCGTCCACGCCGTGTGCCCCCCCAAAACATTTTCTTGGGGTTGCCTCTCGGGTGTCCGTCGTCGGCACGGTTGGCGCCGTTTCTCCTCTCCTGCCTGGGCATTTACCTTCGCCCATGGCCCTTTCCCCGCGAATATCTCCTCCCATGACCACCATTTGCCCACCTGAGACATCGCTATTCTCTCTTCCTGGGCACGCTGCTTGGTCCTCATTTGGTGGGATCTTCTGTCACGATCGTTTACGGATGAGACGGACCAAGGCGCAGCGTGATAAGCGTACATATTTATTAACGTACTGAACACGAACAAAACAACAAACAAACGATACGTGAAGTCCAAGGTAGACTAATAACATACCTATACGGAACAAGATCCCACACAGACTGGTGCCAAACAGGCTGCCTAAGTATGGTCCCCAATCAGAGACAATGAGCTACAGCTGCCTCTGATTGGGAACCACCCTGGCCAACATAGATCTACACGATCTAGAACAAAACATAGAAAAACACAACATAACACAGAATATACACACCCTGACTCAACAAATAAACGTCCCCTGAGTCATGGCGTGACAATTTCAGTTTTCCCCTGCCAACTCAGACCACTCCCAGACAGTCCTAGCAAAATTCTTGATTGAGAAATTGCTCTTTGCTAAGAAGCTATTTTTATTTCTTTTTGACCATTTTCATTGAAAGCAATCACAGTAAGGTACTTAGCCTAATTGTTACCTAGAAATGATTTGATATTGAGATAAAAACGTACGCATTGGACCTTTAAATGGATGGAATTAAGATGAAATGACAGATTAAGAATTTGATAAATCTGCTCCTACACGTTAAATTAGGAGAGAAAATGTTATAGGCTACAATTTGGATGCAACAGCAGAGCCTCTTCTAGGATCCAAATTACAGACAGCAGTGCAAGGTATACTGGCTGCTATCCAGCATCAGAGTGTCAGGTTGTGTAGACAGGCTGAACAGCCCAGTTCCCTTATGTCTGAAAATCGGAAACTCTTTGATGAATCATGCTTGAATTGGGGGCCTCGTCAGTCTGGCTAACATTAATGGCTATTGGCCTTATGACAGACCTATTTCCAGACGTCCCACTCAATAAAAGGCGCCAAGGTAATAGCGCTCTGGCATCACATTTCAGATTGCTGTCAAGATCTCTTGCACCAAATTACCTCAAGATTTCCCGCGCCCGCTCCCGCCCATCTCGCTCTCTTATCGCAGATGATAGTAAAATGGGCCACGAAAACAGTAGTTTGTCAGACTTCAGTGGATTCATCATATTTTGACCAGCCCTTTGAACAACACAGCACCATCATTTATTGGTTAAAATGTCCCTAAATTATCCAACATGGCATGTGATAGGCCTATGCCAACACATCTACAGTGCCAATGGCTCACCAGGATGAGCAAAGCAAACAGAATGTCATTTTCCAGCTTGATTAATCGTTTGCTGACTAATAATTTAAACAACAGCAGGCCTAAACAAATAACAACTAAGTGTCTTCAGGCTGTTTTTTCAAATGTATTTCTTAAAGGCCTAGTGCAGTCAAATGTGATTTTCCAGTGTTTAAAATATACAATGCCTTCAGAAAGTATTCACACCCCTTGAATTTCTACACATTTTGTTGTGTTACAAATTGGGATTAAAATGGATTTCATTGTCTTTATTTTCTTCAACGATCTGCACAAAATACTCTGTAATGTCAAAGTGGAAGAAAAATGCTCTCTTTTTTTTTAAAGGTTAACGAAAAATAAAACACTAAAATATCTTGATTAGATAAGTATTCAACCCCCTGAGTCAATATATGTTAGAATCCCCTTTGGCAGCGATTACAGCTGTGAGTCTTTTGGGGTAAGTCTCTAAGAGCTTTGCACACCTGGATTGTACAATATTTGCCCCATTATTTTATGCCCCATTACTATTCAATGCTTTGTATTCAGGACAAAAAGTTAATTTCTTTGCCATATTTTTTTGCAGTATTACTTTAGTGCCTTATTGCAAACAAGATGCATGTTCTTTTCACTCTGTAATTTAGGTAAGTATTGTGGAGTAAATGCAGGCTGTTACACAACAAAATGTGGAAAAAGTCAAGGGGTGTGAATACACTGAGTCTCTCCTCAGGCCCTTTAGTCTACTTGTCTTGAGCACAGAAACCTGGAAATACATTTGCTCAATCATAGTCTACACCAAATACATTATACTTGTATCTTTACTTGTTTACAAAATAATTGTATTTCCTTTTAAAATCTACAGTAGCAAGACAGTTGAAGGAATAACTGAATACAGTGAGAGTTACAGTTTGGGAGGGAGAAGAGAGACTGATAGTGTACAAGACACTGCTGCAGAAGCATTGTAGAACATAATAATTTTTGGAATGGAGTATTTGGAATGGCATCAAACCATGTGTTTGAAGTATTTTATACCATTCCATTCATTCCGCTCCAGCCATTGACACGAGCCTGCCCTCCCCAATTAAGGTGCCACCAGCCTCCTGTGTGATGAACATATACATTTTGTCAGTGCTCCCTGCTGTGCATTATTGTAGCCTACAGTATGTGAAGATACCATGCCTAACATGATACTGCATGGAATCAGAAGATATTTTGTAAATAGGCCAGTTCACATGGCTGTGAAAATGGACAGGCATGGGATTTATACTGGTTTGAAGATGAGTTCTCACAGTTGTGAGTCCTTCTTATAGAAGGCAACAAGCTATTATTTATATTTGCTCCTGTAAGTCGCTCTGGATAAGAGCGTCTGCTAAATGACTAAAATGTAAATGTAAATTTATCACATAAAGCATTTGTTTAGGACATTGACATGGACACCCTAATTTCAATTGGAAAGGTTTTATCTGACATATGATCCCTTCTTTGAGAACCACTATAGGAATCCCCCCTACACATTCAAATCAAACCCTCCATTTGTTCAATGGAATGGAGTCGATCCTGAGGTTAACCAATCCTGCTTGCTCTTCAGTGTGTATGTGTTGATGTGAAGTGTGTGAGCACAATAGCTAGGGATATATGTTTGTGTATTTTACATGTCTGTGTGTGTATGTGTGACAGACAGACATTTGAATAGCCTCCATGTCCCCATGGTGTGATTAAACAGAAGCTGTTTTCCACTCGGCTTACTCCTTTTAGCCTGCGTGTCCCTGGGCTCTGGACTGATGGAGTCGGGGCCCAGACCTGGGTTGTCTCCTGGAAGCCAAAATTGTGTTTTCCCCCTCATTAGTCTCACAATCCTCATTACACATGGAGAGAGAATAGTTCGGTTTATTTTCTTTTTTGTGTATTATTTTCCATGTATAATAGTTTTTTTTAAATATATATTAGTATAAATGCTCAAACATATTGTTCATTTATGTAATCCTTCATATACATTGCTTTGGCATCAGTGGCAACCACCCATTTATGCCAATAAAACATTTATTGAATTGAGAGAGAGCGAGAGAGAGAGAGATATTTGCTGATTGAAATTTAACCAGATCTCTGTGTGTGACGTGGGAGTGTGCTACATGTGTAATTCTCAGGTGATACAGACAGACGGGCTGAACATCAAACCCACCAAAACCATGTGTATTTGTATAATCCATAGATATGAAAACATCCAGTTCCCCTGCAAGTCCATTCTAAATATTTCAGGTTGTTATGCAGTATAATCTTTTATGAAAAAAAGATCATAAGACAGGGCAGACCTACTGTATGTATGTTTTATAAATAATATATAAATGATGTTGTGTAATTTCCTTTCCCATCCCAGTTCCTTTTCAGACTCCAAAGAAGACTATCCCAACTTCCCGTTTGAGAACGGAGATGTGGCTGGTGCCATCGAGCTGAAGCAGCCTGTTGGCGCCCATTGCCACGGTAACAAAGCAGTGAGTGAGGAGAACCATGACACGCTGCTGGCTAAGAAGAAGCTGTACATTGCCTCCATTGTGTGCCTCATCTTCATGATTGGAGAGATCATAGGTAAGGCTTGGTGATAATATTCATTAGTCTAAAATGCTTTTTCATACCTAGGGCCAGGAGCTTTTCCTAACCAGACAAAACTATTGGCCCTTATTAGAAGCTATTGACTATTGAGATCAGAGTAATGTTTTACCCTATATGTAAAAATAAAATAAAAATAAAAATGGCCCTAAACTGTAATTTATACAAACTATGAGCAGGTTCCTTACACTTTAAAGTCAAGGGGAAGTTCTGTGGAGGTCACTGCCAGTGAAAACTGGGTTTAAGACCATCTGAGTCACAGTAGCACCATGGGCAGTTCTCTGTAATGATATTTTAGAGGCTCCTTGAAATGCATCCAGCCTTTCATGTCGAAATCCTCGCCTGGAAAAAAGACAAATGTTCTGTCAGCCCAAAGGACAATGAAGCGGAGGTAAAAGTGATGAAAGCATGACGGTGACATTTTATATTCTATATTTTATATTTAATGTCCAGGCTTCCTGCCAGGGCTTTGAGTCATCCACTTGTTTCTATAATTCTTTCTCTTGACATTTGGAATGAAAGTGACTGAAACCATGCTGTCTTTTGTACAGTACTACTCAATTTCCTTTCAAGAGGCAATTTCAGAGTTTAGCTAATGACTCAGATTCATTCAAGCATTGTAGTTTTTGCATTATGTTATCAGTACATTTTTATTTAGCTGTAATGGTAATCAAAACTTAGTCTTAATTATTTTTTTTTTTACACAGTCTGTACTTTCCATTCATGAGACTCATTCATCATCAATAGCATCTAAAACAGGGGTACTCAAGTACTATTTGAGAAGGTCCGGTTACACATTTCCTAGGTGGCAAAAACGAAAACATGAATATTATGGCTCTCTGAGACATCTCCGTTGTTTCTGTGTATCTACAGGTGGCTACCTGGCCCACAGTTTGGCTATTATGACAGATGCAGCTCACCTCCTGACTGACTTCGGCAGCATGATGGTCAGCCTGTTCTCCCTGTGGATCTCCTCCAGACCACCCACCAAAACCATGACCTTTGGATGGCATCGCTCAGGTTAGGCCCATGAACATATTTGAATGCACTTTCCCTTTTACCATTTAGCCTCCAGAATACATGGTGAATGTTGTAATAGCTGAATAGTAATAGCCAGGGTCTCAATGCTTTAAAATGACCTTTCCATAGGTCAATGGATATGTGGTACTGATTGTCACTGTCTCCAACCCCCACAGAGATCCTAGGAGCCCTGGTGTCAGCGATGTCCATCTGGATAGTGACTGGGGTGCTGGTGTACCTGGCCATCGAAAGGATAGTCAAGAACGACTATGAGATCAACAGTCAAGCGATGCTCATCACCTCCAGTTGTGCCGTCGTAGTCAACATCATGTGAGTGGTTCATTATCACGGCTTAGTTATAATCATCTGCACTTGATTGTGGAAAAAATACACATAGTGAAGTAAATACCTTCGCTGGGGTCAGCCATTCACCTATGTTGTATTTTTTAACGTAAAAAAAAAAAAATCAGCTCCTATAAAACTGAAGGATAAAGATAAAGAAGGCATTTTAGACTATTGACATCATCATTATCATCCTCTATTCCCTCCTTCCTGTAGCATGGCGTACATCCTCCACCACTCTACCACCTTCCATGCCCAGAGCTCAGGCTACCAGCAGATAGATGAGAACGGGCACAGCCCTTTGGATCACGGCCACTCCCATGTGGGTCACGGCCACTCCCACGCCCTGCTGGGTCATGGCCATGGCAACACCAGTGTGAGAGCAGCCTTCATTCACGTGTTGGGAGATCTCCTACAGAGTGTTGGGGTCCTAGTGGCTGCCATCGTCATCTTCTTCAGGGTCAGTAACAAATACTAGTGTTTACACCTTACAGTAAATATTTACATTATGGCTCATGTTATACTGTATTTATTTACAGTGCAACATATTCATGTTCACTGAAAATGTCAGGTTCTTGGCATATCTTGAGCAAAAAGTCATAACTTGACCTCTAACAATATACCATTTGGAGAGATACAACTGTTGTGCTATTGATGTCACTCAGAGTCTCAGTAGGAAGGGATTAATGTCTCTCATCACCCTGCAAGATGTTGCTCTTCCATTAGAAACCCTCCCTATGATCTAAGTGGCCATCTGATGCCACCCGCTCGCGTCATACTCTCTCCTTTGGACCTTCTGTTGCAGCCTGAATACAAAGTAGCAGATCCCATTTGTACCTTCCTCTTCTCTGTGTTTGTCCTGGGGACCACGATCACCATACTCAGGGATGTTTTCAGGATACTCATGGAAGGTAAACTCAACTCAACAGCCTTTTCTGTTTCTCCTGCTCTGAAGTGAGCCAGTTGTAAATTAATTTATTTATAGAAAAATACCACAATAAAGCATGGCCTTGAGTTCCATTAGGTTTTTTGAATGGACTATTAATGGGATAGCCCTCTGTCCCCAAATATTCTACAGGGGCTCCTAAGGGAATAGAGTTTAACTCAGTGAAGGAGGTGTTGCTTTCTCTGAAGATGGTGAAGGCTATGCACAACCTGCGCCTGTGGGCCCTGACCGCGGGACAGACCCTGGTCTCCGTCCATGTAGCCATCGGTGAGACCCAGCCTCCCTTAGTCTGACACATGACATCACTCCATTTAGATTGTGCATGTACAATCTACCATGTTGATTCACACGTTGCCAGTAGTGGCCAACAGAAACCAACTGACACATGCAACTAAACAGTTAGACATTACAGCCCAAAAAGCACAATTGTTGACATCTGTTATGGCTATTGTTATTTCCCAGAGGAGAATGCTGATCCCCAGAGTGTCCTTAAGGAGGCTACAGAGATCCTCCAAACCAAGTTTGGTTTCTACAGAACCACCATCCAGGTGGAGCCCTACTCTGACGACATGGCCTACTGCACACACTGCCAGGACCCTATGGACTAACAGCAGTGGAGGCTGCTGAGGGGAGGACGGCTCATAATAAATGGCTGGAACGGAGCAAATGGAATGGCATCAAATACATGGAAACCATGTTTGATGTATTTAATACCATTCCACCTATTCCGCTCCAGCCATTACCATGAGCCCGTCCTCCCCAATTAAGGTGCCACCAACATCCTGTGACTAACATACACACAACTACCATGGGGACAGGAGAGAGCTGTCATTTTGAAAGGAAGTGGGTACTGTAAACATACAAAAGCATACAGTGCCTTCAGAAAGTATTCATACCCGTTGACTTATTCTTGTTTTGTCACAGCCTGAATTCAAAACGGAATGCATATATATTTTTCTCTCCCATCTACACACAATACCCTAAAATGACAAAGTGAAAACATGTTTTTAGAAATTGTTGCAAATGTATTAAAAATGAAATACAAAAATATCTAATTTACATAAGTATTCACACCACTGAGTCAATACTTTGTAGAAGCACCATTGGCAACGATTACAGCTGACCTGGATTGTGCAACATTTGCCCATTTATTCTTTCCAAAATTCTCCAAGCTCTGTCAAAATGGTTGTTTATCATTGCTAGACAACCATTTTCAAGTCTTGCCATAGATTTTCAAGTAGATTTAAGTCAAAACTGTAACTCGGCCACACAGAAACATTCACCGTCTTCTTCGTAAGCAACTCCAGTGTAGATTTGGGCTTGTGTTTTAGGTTATTGTCCTGCTGAAAGGTGAATTAATCTCCCAGTGTCAGGTGTGAAGCAGACTGAACCAGGTTTGCCTCTAAGATTTTGCCTGTGCTTAGCTCCATTCCGTTTCTTTTTTTTTATTATTATGAAAAACTCCCCAGTCCTTAACGATTACAAGCATACCCATAACATGATGCAGCCACCACTATGCTTGAAAATATGGAGAGTGGTACTCAGTAATTGCCACATTTTTTGCAGTATGACTTTAGTGCCTTGTTGCAAACAGGATGCATGTTTGGGAATATTTTTTATTCTGTACAGGCTTCCTTCTTTTCACTCTGTCAATTAGGTTAGTATTGTGGAATAACTACAATGTTGTTGATCCATCTTCAGTTTTCTCCTATCACAGCCATTCAACTCTGTAACTGTTTTAAAGTCACCATTGGCCTCATGGTGAAATCCTGAGCGGTTTCCTTCCTCTTCGGCAATTGAGTTAGGAAGGACGCCTGTATCGTTGTAGTGACTGGGTGTATTGATACACCATACAAAGTGTAATTAATGACTTAATGTTCAAAGGGATATTCAATGTCAGATTTTTTTTTTTACCCATCTACCAATAGGTGCCCTTCTTTGGAAGGCATTCGAAAACCTCCCTGGTCTTTGTGGTTTAATCTGTGTTTGAAATTCCCTGCTCGACTGAGGGGCCTTACAGATAATTGTATGTGTGGGGTACAGAGATGAGGGAGTCATTCAAAAATCATGTTAAACACTATTATTGCATATAGTGAGTCAATTCAACTTATTATGTGACTTATAGCCTTGGCGTGACCCTGGACAACACCCTGTCGTTCTCCGCTAACATCAAGGCGGTGACCCGATCCTGTAGGTTCATGCTCTACAACATTCGCAGAGTACGACCCTGCCTTACACAGGAAGCGGCACAGGTCCTAATCCAGGCACTTGTCATCTCCCGTCTGGATTAATGCAACTCGCTGTTGGCTGGGCTCCCTGCCTGTGCCATTAAACCCTTACAACTCATCCAGAACGCCGCAGCCCGTCTGGTGTTCAACCTTCCCAAGTTCTCTCACGTCACCCCGCTCCTCTGCACACTCCACTGGCTTCCAGTTGAAGCTCGCATCTGCTACAAGACCATGGTGCTTGCCTACAGAGCTGTGAGGGGAACGGCACCTCTGTACCTTCAGGCTCTGATCAGTCCCTGCACCCAAACGAGGGCATTGCGTTCATCCACCTCTGGCCTACTGGCCCCCCTACCTCAGCGGAAGCACAGTTCCCGCTCAGCCCAGTCAAAACTGTTCGCTGCTCTGGCACGCCAATGGTGGAACAAGCTCCCTCACGACGCCAGGACAGCGGAGTCACTCACCACCTTCCGGAGACACTTGAAACCCCACCTCTTTAAGGAATACCTGGGATAGGATAAAGTAATCCTTCTACCCCCCCTTACCCCACCCCAAAGAAAAAAAAATATATATATATTGTTAAGTGGTTGTCCCACTGGCTATCATAAGGTGAATGCACCAATTTGTAAGTCGCTCTGGATAAGAGCGTCTGCTAAATGACGAAAATGTAAATGTAAATGTTATTATGTGGCAAATTGACATGTGGCAAATCATTTTTATATATTTGTAAAAATGTCAAAAAACATAATTCCACTTTGACATTATGGGGTATTGTGTGTAGGCCTGTGACAAAAAATCTCAATGTAATCAATTTTAAATTCAGGCTGTAACACAACAAAATTTGGAAAAGGTAAAGGGGTGTGAATACTTTCTGAAGGCACTGTAATTGAGGATGTAAATTAGGAATGGAAACACTGCAAAAGCATCACCATGAGACCCAAAAAACATTTTCTGATCCATCATCAGCTTTACAGGACGTACTGTGCATATGTTCACCATATCATGCCAAAGATTTCCATATAAATACCATTCATTCAAGAGCTATTGATATTCCAGAAAATGGATTTCATGCCAAGAAACTGCATCTCAGGGAGTGAGACATGTTAAATAGAAAAATATTATGATGAATGTATCAGCACATATTTCTAGTAGTGTATGCCATTACTTCACCAGTCTGTGCTGATGTAGTGCATTTTTAGACAGCCATTTGGCTTTAGCATTCCCTCATTGGCATGGTGCTTTAGGTCAGCAACACAGGGTAATAGCTTGTCTCTGAGTTCTTTGGAGTAATACATTGATATTGACGTAAGAACCCTGAAACCAATGAGATTTCTGTTGATTCTGTCTTACCCAGGCCTTTATCTGTGCTTCAGTCGAGGGTGTCTGCCAAATGGTAGCATTATATTGTTCACAATTGAAAAGAGTTCTGGTTCAAATGAGAAAATGGATTATGTCAGTGTGAGAAAGCATCCTACGAGCTCACTCATCTCACTCAGAGGAGGAATCCTCAAGACAGACCAATTTACAAAAGGAGTTGGTCGATTAGTTTTAGCATTGTGGGCTGTATTAATCTATGCTCCAGGATATGCCCTAAGCAGATATAGCAAATAGACTGGCTGATATTCACAGTGCTCTATTCCTAATTTGAAACTCACTGGAGGTAGGCTACATTGGAATGTGTTGAAACCGTGTTAAATTACCCCTCCAGTTATGCAGTTTCGTTGACATCATAGCCCCGCATGGACGTTTTCTTGCACTGTTTTGGGATGACACAGAAGAGAGAGGTCAAATGAACGAATCCCATCTCTATACTCTCACCTATCCACATTTCTCCAAAAGCATACCCATACACCCTCCTCACCCACTCCCACACTGTCATAGGCCTACATGCCATGTAGCTTTGCACAGGGTTTTTGTTTGTAGTTCCTGTGCCTCCACACTGCATCAACAACCTTCCTGAATTCCAGAGAGGGTCAGTCAGTCAGCTTTCTAATCCATATCTGTCCACTCCCACAACATGCATGTGCGCAAACCTGTCAGCTTCATAAAAATAAATACACCAACAAATAAGTGTAATGATGCATCTCTTTAGAAAATGTACAGTGATAAGTGTATTGTACAAAAAAGTCCAACCTGTGACACGCTGACACCATGAAATATAAAAGGCACTCGCCATTCTTGTCGTACTTTGAAGCCTGCAGTGAAGTGTCAATATTGTAACCTGCACTGAAAATTAACAGAAATGGACAAACATTATTCACCAAACACTTGCATGAGTGTTGTTTATCATTCAGATTGTGTAATAAAGATATCTTCATAGGACTGCCAATATGACTATTTGGTAGGGATTACGCTTCTAAATGTCACTGAACTATCCTCATAAAAAATATATTTTGATCACTTTTGATAAAAGGAAAATATATATTAAATCAAATGTAAATATTTTATTTTCATTTGTAAACCACATGGAAATGGAACAAAGAAAGATCCAACTGTAAAGATGCAGTCAAAACCACAGGATCCAACAGCCAATGTATTACTTTTGGACCAGAAAGTGGTTACAAAGCACCTTTCACCCAGGCAAGTCTACTCAAATTCATAAAAGATAACGTTATTATTTGTTCACCAACTAAATGTAATGTTTCAGAATGCTGTCTTGTATTGTATGAAAATTGTAAATATGCCAAATCAGTATTTCCTGTGTACGATTGTGTAAAGTGTAAATATATTTGATTTATTGTATAAAATCAGTCTGTGAAGTCCTGTGTGTAAATGTTTGGTGATATTATATTAAACGACTGGTCACTGTTTGATATTTTATTGATATGTTTGGTTAGATTTTTGTAAAACTTAAATAAAAGTATGCAGTTAACTGGGGGCTATGAATTATTTCATTATTTTCAGAGCTGTAAACTTTACAGGCCAATAATACTCCTCATTAGTGTCATTCCAGATAATAAATCTCCAGTCACAATCAAGACTAATTACATCCTGAGACTACTGTAGTTTACTGTACAGAGCAGCAGCAGGAAATATTCACATATCACCATTACTACGGCTTTGTTCGAGAGCATCGAAACAGTGATGTATCATGGGTAAATTGTAACCGACTGACTGATCTACGAATAATAATGAGTCGTTATTTATGATGCAAAGTGATTTGTAGATCAGTCAGTTGGCAGTCGCCTGCACTGTCGGCTGCAATGTCGAACAAGCCCAGAGTAGGCCATCACTTCCTCACCTAGCTACACTTAGGCCGTGTTCGAGAGCATCAAAGCGACTGCAAGCGACTGCCGACTGACTGATCTACAAATCACCTTATCATAAATAATGACTCATTATTTGTAGATCAGTCAGAATTTACCCATGATACATTGGGGTTTTTGTTCCTCTCGAACATGGCCGTAGTAATGGTGATACAGTGAGGGAAAAAAGTATTTGATCCCCTGCTGATTTTGTACGTTTGCCCACTGACAAAGACATGATCAGTCTATAATTGTAATGGTAGGTTTATTTGAACAGTGAGAGACAGAATAACAACAAAAAAGTCCAGAAAAACACATGTCAAAAATGTTACAAATTGATTAGCATTTTAATGAGGGAAATAAGTATTTGACCCCCTCTCAATCAGAAAGATTTCTGGCTCCCAGGTGTCTTTTACAGGTAACGAGCTGAGATTAGGAGCACACTCTTAAAGGGAGTGCTCCTAATCTCAGTTTGTTACCTGTATAAAAGACACCTGTCCACAGAAGCAATCAATCAATCAATCAGATTCCAAACTCTCCACCATGGCCAAGACCAAAGAGCTCTCCAAGGATGTCAGGGACAAGATTGTAGACCTACACAAGGCTAGAATGGGCTACAAGACCATCGCCAAGCAGCTTGGTGAGAAGGTGACAACAGCTGGTGCGATTATTCGCAAATGGAAGAAACACAAAATAACTGTCAATCTCCCTCGGCCTGGGGCTCCATGCAAAATCTCACCTCGTGGAGTTGCAATGATCATGAGAACGGTGAGGAATCAGCCCAGAACTACACGGGAGGATCTTGTCAATGATCTCAAGGCAGCTGGGACCATAGTCACCAAGAAAACAATTGGTAACACACTACGCCGTGAAGGACTGAAATCCTGCAACGCCCGCAAGGTCCCCCTGCTCAAGAAAGCACATATACAGGCCTGTCTGAAGTTTGTCAATGAACATCTGAATGATTCAGAGGAGAACTGGGTGAAAGTGTTGTGGTCAGATGAGACCAAAATCGAGCTCTTTGCCACCAACTTGGAGAAGATCTGCAAAGAGCAGTGGGACAAAATCCCTCCTGAGATGTGTGCAAACCTGGTGGCCAACTAAGAGAAACATCTGACCTCTGATTGCCAACAAGGGTTTTGCCTCCAAGTACTAAGTCATGTTTTACAGAGGGGTCAAATACTTATTTCCCTCATTAAAATGCAGATACATTTATAACATTTTTCACATCATTTTTCTGGATTTTTGTTGTTATTCTGTCTCTCACTGTTCAAATAAACCTACCATTAAAATGATAGACTGATCATGTCAGCGTCTGGGTGAAGTGGTGAAACGGAATCAGGCACAGGACACAGAACCTAGAAAAGTATGGCTTTACTAAACAAAGTAAACCATAGCAAACCCTCCACGCAGGGAAGAGCTAAACAACAGCTCAACAGACGACGTAACAACGAACAATCAACGACAAACCCAGGAGGGAAAACAGAGGTAATATATAGAGAAACCAATAAGCCTAATGAGTAACAGGTGTGAATAATAAAGACAGGACTAGTGTGACACAGAAACATCGATCGGTGGCAGCTAGTACTCCGGTGACGACGAACGCCGAAGCCTGCCCGAGCAAGGAGGAGGGGCAGCCTCGGCTGTATCCGTGACAGTACCCCCCCCCCCCCCCGACGCGCTGCTCCAGCCGTGCGTCAACACCGGCCTCGGGGACGGCCAGGAGGACGCGGAGCAGGGCGAGTCGGATGACGACGATGGAAATCCCTTAACAAGGAGGGATCGAGGATGTCCCTCCTGGGAACCCAGCTCTGTTCCTCCGGACCGTACCCCTCCCACTCCACGAGATACTGCAGGCCTCCAACCCGACGCCTCGAATCCAGGATGGAACAGACCGAGTACGCCGTTGCCCCCTCAATGTCCAATGGGTTGCGGAGGAACCTCCTGCACCTCAGACTCCTGGAGCGGACCAGCTCCCACCAGCCTGAGGAGAGACACATGGAACGAGGGGTTAGTACGGTAATCAGGAGGGAGCTGTAACCTATAACAAACCTTGTTCTACCTCCTCAGGACTTTAAAGGGCCCCACAAACCGCCAACCCAGCTTCCGGCAGGGCAGGCGAAGGAGCAGGTTTCGGGTCGAGAGCCAGACCCGGTCACCCGGTGCATACACCGGAGCCTCACTGCGGTGGCGGTCGGCACTCGCCTTCTGTCTCCTATTAGCCCTTTGCAGGCGTACATGGGCAGCGTTCCAGGTCTCCTCCGAGCGCCGAAACCATTCATCCACCGCAGGTGCCTCGATCTGGCTCTGATGCCACGGTGCCAGGACCGGCTGGTAACCTAGTACACACTGAAAGGGAGACAGGTCAGTGGAGGAGGGAATTTTGTGCCATCTCTGCCCAGGGGATGTAAACTGACCAATCCCCCATGCAGGTCCTGGCAATACGACCTCAGAAACCTAGCCACATCCTCGTTTACTCTCTCCACCTGCCCATTACTCTCGGGGTGAAACCCTGAGGTCAGGATGACAGAGACCCCCAGATGGTCCATAAACGCCCTCCAGACCCTCGATGTAAACTGGGGACCCCGATCAGACACTATATCCTCAGGTACCCCGTGTGTAAACAGGGCCTCTGCGGTCTGTAGGGTAGTAGGGAGCCGGGCAAAGGAATGAGACGACAGGACTTAGAAAACCGATCCGTAACAAAGTCCACCGATAGGTGTGACCACGGCAGTTGTGGAACGGGGAGAGGTTGTAATTTACTTCTGGGCAGGTGTCTAGGTGCCTTGCACTGGGCGCACACCGAACAGGAAGAAACATAAACCCTCACGTCCTGAGCTAAGGTAGGCCACCAGCACTTCCCACTAAGACAGCGCACTGTCCGACCGATGCCAGGATGGCCAGAAGAGGGTGACGTGTGAGCCCAATAGATCAAACGATCGGGAACATCAGACGGAACGTACACACGACCCACTGGACACTGGGGGGGGGGGGGGGAGTGGGCTCCGTGCGTAACGCCCACTCGATGTCCGCGTCAACCTCCCATACCACAGGGGCCACCAGACAAGAAGCCGGAAGTATGGGAGTGGGCTCCCTGGTCCGCTCCTCTGAGTCATACAGCCGGGACAGAGCGTCTGCCTTAGCATTCTGGG